TCCGCGTCCCGCGCTCGGCCGCCCGCCGGTACGGACCCCAGGGACACCGGGCCAGGCGTGCTGCCAGTACCCCCCGCGTATACCGGGTGGGGCGCGGTGTTTGGCCAGGAGGCAGCGGGGACCGGGGGAGGGGTGCACTGAGGCACCCGCGCTGGGCGGTGCAGAGCCTGGGTTGGGCCTCCGGGCCCCGCCCCAGGGTGCTGGGTGACCTCGGGCCAGTCCTTGTGCGCTTCGCCAGGCTCTGGGCCTCCGCTTCCTCACCACAGCCCCTCAGGTCAGCCACCGGGTCAGACTCAGTTGATAATAGTGGCCCACGTGGATTCTGCTGGTTCTTTGGCTAAGCCCTTGGTCGGCTTCAAGCCAGCCAGAACTCACAACCACGTTTGAGCCCAGTGTTGCCACTATGCCCATTGACAGGAGGAACTGAGACCTAGAGAGGGGAAGGGATTTACATCTGCTCATAGGTGGGGCTGCCATCTGAACCAAGGCCTGCTAGTTCTGGACCAGAATTTGTGGCCAGGTAGGGGTGAGGGTGGAGGTGGTCCTAGGGTGCACTGTTGGGAAACCATTGAGGGGACCCTCCTTCCTGCGTACACACTCTACTGCCAGGTGCAGGCCTGGTCCTCCAGGCCCCTGGGGACATGCCGCCTGGCCTGGAGGCCTTCTCTGCAGGGGTGGGGCGAGACGCCTGGGCCAGCTGCTGATCTCCTCCCTCTGCCTGTCCTTCCATCTGCCACCCTTCACCCTCCGAGGCCTTGGTTGCCATAGAACCTCATTAATCAAGCAGGCCCCTGGGGAAGGACTGGGTGGGCTGGACTTCTGGGAGCTGGAAGGGAGACCCCCAGTGTCAAGGGAGATAATCTGATAAAGGCCTCCCTGAGCCACAAGAGATTCTAGACCAGTTCAGACCCAGAGCAGGCGTCTGAATTACCGTGGGAGAAGGGAGTGGAGGCTGGAGTTTGAGGCTGTGGGCCGCGGGAGAGGGTGTGGAGACCAGTTTGACTGGCACAGCCTGTGGGTGAAGGTGGGGCCCAGGCAGGCAGGGGCTGGCCGTGAATGCTGGGGTCTAGGCAGGGGGCTTAGATCAAGCAGGAGGGGTGAGGCAGGGCTTGGGGCTAGGAGGTGGAAGCTGCCCAACTACCAGTAGAGACGTGGGTGGCAGCTGGTCCCTGAGGCATCCTGAGAAGGCTCCCCTTGGCCCCATGCCCAGTGCTGCCTTCCTTCCGGAATCACCAAGATGCTAATAATAATAACAATAGCAGCCACCGTTGTTTTGAGAATATTTTGTGTGCAGGGCTCTGTGCCAAGCCCTTTACCCAAATTAACCTATTTAACCCTCTCGACAACCTTCCCCTTTTACAGATGGGGAAATTGGGGCACAGAGATGTGACAACCTTCCCCAGAGAAGATCAGCTATTGAGTGGTGGGATTATTAACTCAGCAGCTCAAGCTGGGGTGCCTTGGAAATGCTAATGGGGTTAAATGAAACCCAGGGAGGTATTAGGGACCCTTCCTCCTTGTGAGTGAGTGGGAGGGGTGATTGTGGGCCTGGACCTGTCCATCTTGCTTGCCTCCTACCCTCCAGTGAAATGGCCTGCCTGCGAGGGTACCAACTAGACTCCATTTAGCTGACTGACAAGCACTTAGCAGGCCCAGGGCTACAGAGACAGAGCAGAGGCTGGGGGCTCCTGGGAAGAGGAAAAATGCTCCTACCGCTCACGTCACGGGCGTCCTGGGGGGCTGAGTTTTCCATTCATTCAACAGCTGGTGCGTTAGTGAGCGCCCATGAGAATGCCAGGCACAGAGGCAAGTAAGGAGCTCCTGCCCCATAGTGTTTAAGGGCTAGTGGGCATTTATGTGCTGGGGGTGGCGCTGGCACTATCATGGCGCCAAAGCAGAGAAACTTGGGCTCAGCCATTGTCATTTAACATCCTCAACTCTTAACACCTGTGGGTAGCTGCTGGTCACATGATTTGTGGCTCCACTTACCCTGTGCAGTGGCATTTGCTTAGGGCAGTCCCTGGATCAAGCTACAAGTTCAACTTCACCAATGAGCATTTATTGAGCACCTACTACATACAAGGTTCTGAGGTTCAGTCATTCCTCCTGGCCCTTCCTGTCCACCCCCACCCTGTTGTGGCCTTTTTTTTTTTTAAATATAGTTTTCATTATAAATATATGTTTAGTATAGGAAACAGAGTAAAGTATAAAGTTAGGGTCAGGATCCCAGTGCCATCCACTAAAAAAAAAATTTTTTTTTTTAACTTTTCTTTCCCTGATCCTGTTTTTACTTGTAATGTAGTTATGAGAGCTAGCTTTCATTTTCTAAAATGTTTTTTTATATGTTGTAACCAAGTCCATATGCATCATTTTCTAAAACTTTTTAAAAATTTGTTTTTTCATTATTTCCTTTGTCAACCATCATATCCCTCACTACAGAGAAGGCCACCATTCCCTCAGGGCCCCATGCAGAGGTTGCCCCTGAAATGGATTGGTATATTCTAGTAGATACTGAACCAGAGAAGTTGTTTTGTGATATATATATATATATATATATATTTTTTTAATCCAAAAAGAACCATTCAGATGCTTGACCCCCTTTTTGCTTGCTGCTATGTCTCTGAGAGTTCTGTGTTGATCTGCATCAGTCCTCTGTGACATCTGTGTGGTAATTCAGAGCCTGGGCACACTGATTTTTTTGTGGCTTTTCTCCTCCTGTGGGTGGGTGTTCAGGTTTTTCACCAGTGAATGTCTTTACCCTGACTCCCAGGTCCCTGTGGCAGTAGAGTGAGGCCATCAGCAGCGGGCATCTCTCTGCACCCTTGTTTTCAGGTGTGGCATTGACTTGCCTTAAGGGTGGGCAAGGGCCTGGGTACCAAGGAGAAGGCAAAGAGAACAGATGGCAGGAGCATGCTCGGTTGGGTTCATGCTGGGAGAGGGTAGACTATTGGACCAGCTTTTGGACTGGGCTCTGGGGAGACAGGACGTGGGTAAGAATGTGGATACAAGTGTGGGTTCTGAGCCATGCTGTCAGTTTGAATGTTGCCTCCACCTCTCATTGGCTGTGTGACCTCTCTGACTTTCAGATTCCTCCAGAAGTGGTTTTCAATGGCTGAGTTCTTTTCGAAAGTAGATGGTGAGGACTTTATTCCAAGGCGCCTCTTTGTAGACTTAAGTTGCCAACTTTTCAGAGAGTAGCGCAGCACATTAACCATTTGGACTCCCCAGACGCCAGGGTTGCCGTAGCCTGCCATGACGTGGTTGGAGGGTTTGATGAGTAATTGGGAGACAGTTACTTAGTACAGTGCTCAGTACACAGGAGGCAACTGACACTTTCTCTTTTCACTGTTCCCCGGGATGCCTGAGCAAGGCAATGAATGTGTGTGTGAGGGGGAGTGTCATGGCCTGCCAGCCTGTGGGGAGGTTCATTCAGCAAACGTTTGTTGGTGCCCACAGCCTGTGCCAGACACTTGGTACAGAGCTGATTTAGACCCAGTGCCCGCCTCTGAGGAGCTCACTGGCTTATGGGTCAGAAAGATACATCTGTGGTAATTCATAGTGAGAGACAGAATGTGGGAAAAGGTGGGGTGTGAGGAAGAAGAGGTAACGTCTCTTACAGGATCAGAAAGACTTCCATGACCAGTAAAATTTCTGTCCACAGGTGGAAGCAGTGCCTGTGACAGATGGGAGGGGGGAGACAGGCAAGGACGATTCAGGAAGGGGGACCAGCCTGGGCTAAGGTAGGTAGGTGAAGGCTTGTGAGTGTAGGGGAAGCGTGGTTGGATGTGGATGAGTGTCCTAGTCGTTTGCATTTTTCACCAGCGAATGTCTGCACCTGCACCTGGGCCGGGTTTCTCTAGAGAACAAACATCAGAAGTGGCATCTGCATGTGCTCTCATTCTCGAGTGTGGCATTGACTGGTCTTCAGGGTGGGCAAGAGCATGGGTACCAGGGAGGAGGCGAGGAGGGCAGTTGGCAGGAGCACGCCCTGGTGCAGAGGCTTCCTGGAAGAGCAGAGGCACATCAAGTTATGGAGGCAGTGGGAGTCCTGAGGAAGGTCTTAAATCACAGGCAATAACGTGCTAAGATGTGTGTTTTAGGATGAAGACTAGCTGCAGTGCAGGGGGACAGATGGAGGTAGAGACACCACTGGGGAGATTGCTAAATGGTCCAAGTGGGAAGTGACAAGGATTTCTTGGTAACTGGATGTGATGAGGGTGGTGGACGGGGCTGAACTGAGGTTCTGGCTCTGGAAACCCTGTGGATAGTGGAGGGAAGGGTTAAGATTGGTTTGGTTCAGGGTGCATTTGAGATGGCTGTGGGACTTGAGGACAGTTTTGATCCTTGAATGTCTGAATAGACCAGAGGACCTAGAGGCTAAGAGCTTGGGCTCTTCATCATGGAGTCTTGGGTGGGAATCATGGCCCTGACACTTCTGTTTTATGGAGTTGAGCCTCCCTGGGCTTCCATTGCCTTATCTGGAAAATGGAGCCACCGTTGTACTGTCATCCATGTTGTTAGGTGCTGTTGTGTCGATTCCGACTCAGTGTGACACTGTGTGCAACAGGACAAAACACTGCTGGGTCTTGTGCCATCCTCATGATGTCGGTATGCTGAGCCCATTGTTGCCGACTGTTGCAGTCAGTCCATCTCATTGAGGGTCTTTTCTCCTCCGGCCCTCTACTTTGCCAAGCATGATGTCCTTCAGGGACTGGTCCCTTCTGAGAACACATCCAAAGTATGTGAGATGAAATCTCGCCATCCTGACTTCTAAGGGGCATTCTGGCTCTGCTTCTAGGACGGGTTTGTTCTTCTGGCAGTCCGTGGTCTGTTCAGTATTCTTTACCAACACCATAATCAAAGGCATCAGTTCTTCAGTCTTCTTTATTCATTGTCTAGCTTTCTCATGCCTGTGATGCTATTGAAAATACCATGGCTTGGGCCGTGTGCACGTTGGTCTGCAAAGTGACATCTTTGCTTTTTAACACTTTGAAGAAGTCTTTTGCAACATATTTGCCCAGTCCAATATGTCATTGGATTTCTTGACTGCCGCTTCCATGGCATTGATTGTGAATCCGAGTAAAATGAAATCCTTGACAACTTCAGTCCTTTCTCCGTTTATCATCATGCTGCTTAATAGTCCAGTTGTGAGGATTTGTTTCCTTTGTCATGTAATCCACATGAAGGAAATAATTAATGGTACACAGAGCACGTGATGAGCACCGGCTGTGCCCACTTCACAGACGAGTCGAAAACAGGAGGTGACTTGCCCAGGGGACCTGTGTATACTCAGTGGCTTAACCAACAAACATTATGACACAGTTTTTGTGGGTCAGGAGTTCAGGAGTGACTTAGCTGGGTGGTTCTAGCCTGAAGTCTTCCCTGCAGTTGCGGCCAGGCTGCAGTCATCTGAAGGCTTGACTAAAGGTTGGAGACTTCGCTTTCAAGCCCACTCATGGGACTGTTGGAAGAAGCCTCACCACATGAGACTCATAGGGCTACTTGAGTGTCCTCAGACATGGCTGCTGGCTTGCCCCTAGTGAGAGATCCACGATAGGGAACAAGAGGGAAGCTCCATTGCCTCTTATGACCTGGTCTCAGAAGCCACTTCCACCACATTCTTTTCATTAGAAGCAAGTCACTAAGCGTGGTCCACATTTAAAAGGAGAAGAGTTGGGCTCCATCCTTTGAAGGGAGGAGTATCAAAGAATTTGCAGGCGTATTTTAAAACTACCATGGGCCTCCAGCGAGTTTAGTGGTGGAACTGGGACTTGAACTTGGGTCTTCTGCCTTCTAGTTGAGCATTCTGTCTTGTGAGGTATGGTTGAGGCCCCTGGGCTATATCCTCCAGGACCTCCCCTTCACGCACTTAGGCACCCTGGTAGAGGAACTGAGGCAGAGGGCAGCCCAGGGGCACCAAGCCCTCAACCGGGTGTCTTGTGGCTTCACTCTCCTGGTTACTGGGCATCCTTCTTCCATTGTTTTTGCCACAGGTGAAGCGGAGGCTGGACCTGGAAACCGACCATCAATACCTGGCTGAAAGCAGTGGCCGGGGCAGGGGCCGCCACCCAGGGAAAGGTACCCACTGGGCTCAGGCTTGGGCTGGCCCCTGTGGCCAGGCCCGGGTTGGGAGTATGGACAGACAAACATGCTTACAAACTCAGCTCTGGCCTGCCAGGCCTGGGCCTGAGCCAGGCCTCTAGGGGCCCAGAGGGGCAGCTGAAGTGGATGCTTGGCAAGGCTTCCCCAGGCCGTGGGGGGTGGGCAGTGCCCAGGCCCAGAGAGGAATGCTTTGGTTGGCAGCATCCACAGGGCCCCCCTGCTTAGCCTTGCCAAGGGGAAGGAGCCGTGTGTCCCACATCATTGTCCTGGTCTGTGCTGCTGGGGAGGCAGCCTGGCTGGGAGCGGGGCTGAGAGCTGAGGGACCCTGCCTTTGCTGACCTCCCCTCAGGTGTGAAGTCTCCGGGGGAGAAGTCACGCTATGAGACATCCCTGAATCTGACCACCAAACGGTTCCTGGACCTGCTGAGCCGCTCAGCTGATGGTGTTGTCGACCTGAACTGGGCAGCTGAGGAGCTGAAGGTGCAGAAACGGCGCATCTACGACATCACCAACGTCCTTGAGGGCATCCAGCTCATCGCCAAGAAGTCCAAGAACCACATCCAGTGGCTGTAGGTACCAGCAAAACAGGGTGGGCAGGGGCTCAGGGCTGAGCAGACTCACCTGCCCATGCCACCTGGTGAAATGTGTAGCTCAGTGCACGTTGACATTTTTGTGCACCTTGGTAACCACCGTCTGGGTCAAGATAGGGAATATTTTCAGCACCCCAGAAACTTCCTGTGCCCCTCCTCAGTCACTGCCCACCCCCACAACACCAGGTAGCCATTCAAGGCTTCTGTTAATCATCAGTGAGTTATCTGGCGCAGCTGTTTTGTTCTTGTCAATTCTGGTGTCATTTTTCTCCTCCCAGCCCTGTCCTCAGTCGTCCTGCCCCTCTCTGACACATCTGTCTTTTCACTTGGAAGATCATTCTGGATTATTTTCACTTGGCAGCATATCTTGGCGATGTTCTGTGTCTGTAAATCAGATGCAGCCTTGACCTTTCTCACAGCTGCATAGTATTCCACAGTATCTGTGTCCTTACTTACTTGTTAGCCCCCATGAGTGACGTGTAGGTGTTTGCAGATACTCAGGCCAGGGTTTAAGCCCAGGCCAATCTAATTTGGAGTCCAGGTATGGATCTCTGCTGCTTCCCATCTGAGGAGCCAGACCTAGAGAGGGGCAAGGGCTTGCCTGGGGTGATAGAGCAGGGGTGGTGGCGACGGTGGTGGCGGCAGATTCAGTCCTGAGGTCCAGGGCCCCAGGCAGAGGGGTCAAGAGCTGCTAACCCTCTCTGTGGGCTCCCTACAGGGGCAGCCATACGGCAGTGGGGATCAGTGGGAAACTTGAAGGACTGACCCAGGACCTCCAACACCTGCAGGAGAGTGAGCGGCAGCTGGACCACCTGATCCATGTCTGCACCACACAGCTGCAGCTGCTCTCTGAGGACGCTGACAGCCAGCGATATCCTTGGGCTGGAGGGCACCAGAGGGCAAGGCTGATAGGTGGAGGCCTCACCCACATGGGGCCACCCTGGGCCTGGATGCAACAGAGGACTCTTGTTTTGGATTCAAGTCCTGGTTCAGCCATTTATTTAATCACTGTGTTGTGCTGGACAAGTTACTTTGCCTCTCTGGGCCTCAGCTTCGTCTGGAGAAAGGGGATAATAATATCCAGTTTTGAAATAATGAGGATGAAAACAAGAAAAGCTAGTACCAGCAACTGTTGTTAGTTGCCTTTGAGGGATTCCAGCTCCCAGGGCACCCCACGTGTGCAGAGTGGCACTGCTCCATAGGGTTTACGAGGCTTTGACCTTCTGGAAGCAGATTGCCAAGCCTGTCTTCCGAGGTGCCCCTGGGTGGGTTTGAACTGCCAACTTCTGGGTAAGTAGTCCAGTGCTTAACTGTTTGTGCCACCTGGAGAGACATTGGTACCAGCAATACTGATTCAATGCAGCCGCTCAATGTGTAGTCAGTCCTAGCTTCAAGTTTAGAGATAGTAGTTTTTGCCTTTTATTCACAAAAATAAAAAGTTCCATTAAAATAGGCTTTTTTTGTTGTTGTTGATATAAATTGTGGTTTATAAATTTTAGATATACCCACTAACTAGCACTAAACTCATGGGTCAAAATAAACTCCCAGCACCAGGTCTGGAGATGGTTAAGTGTGTACATGGAATTATTACGGGCATCCATCATCTCGCTTGCAGTTAGATGGATAGGATTGTCCCCATTGTATAGATGTGGAAATTGACACTGAGGGCATAAGGTAGATTTCTGAGCATCAACGATATGCCAGGCCCGGGTGGCTGGGCAGCTGTGGGCCCTGCCATGTGAGCTGTCTTGGAGGTGGCTCCCAGAGGTCAAAGGTTGTATCCTTGACTCCACCAACCCTGGCTTACGTGACCTGCCAGGACCTGCGCAGCATTGCAGATCCCGCAGAGCAGATGGTCATGGTGATTAAGGCCCCTCCAGAGACCCAGCTCCAAGCCGTTGACTCCTCAGAGGTGAGACCAGTAGGCTCCAGGGCAGGCTGGGCTGGGCTGCTGGTCTCTGGGCCTCAGTTTACCCTGCCTGCTTCCTTCCACCCAGACCTTTCAGATCTACCTTAAGAGTAAACAAGGCCCCATTGATGTTTTCCTGTGTCCTGAGGAAAGCTCAGGTGGGATCAGCCCAGGAAAGACTCCAACCCAGGCAGCAGCTTCTCCTGGGGAAGACGACAAGGTGGCTGTCCCTGCCGCCCCAGTACCGCCATCATCACCTCCTCCCTCACCCCCTGCTATGGATCCTGGCCAGTCCTTGTTAAGCCTGGAGCAAGGTGGGTCAAGGGTCCCTCTGGAGTGGATGGGTGGGCGGGCAGGCATGGCAGCCCCCTCTCTCTTCCCTTCTGGGGCATCCCTGGCCTGTGATGCTCCCCCATCTCCCCAGAACCGCTGCTGTCCCGGATGGGTGGCCTGCGGGCCCCTGTGGATGAGGACCGCCTGTCCCCACTGGTGGCAGCTGACTCGCTCCTGGAGCATGTGCGGGAGGACTTCTCCAGCCTCCTCCCTGAGGAGTTCATCAGCCTGTCCCCTCCCCACGAGGCCCTTGACTACCACTTTGGCCTTGAGGGCGAGGGCATCAGAGACCTCTTCGACTGTGACTTTGGGGACCTCACCCCCCTGGATTTCTGATGGGGCTTACAGGGGCCAGGGCCTTCCAAGATGCCTACTCTGTCTGTTGCAGCCCTGGAGCCCCCTGTCCCTGGCCGTCCTCCCAACTCAATTGGAAACATTTAATTTATATCACCTTCCCCTATGTCTGGAGCCCTGGTGGCACAGTGGTTAAAGCACTTGACTGCTAACCGAAAGGTTGGTGGTTTGAACCCACCAGCTGCTCTGCGGGAGAAAGATGTGGCAGTCTGCTTCCGTAAAGATTTATGGCCTTGGAAACTACATGGGCAGTTCTACTCTGTCCTACAGGGTTGGCTATGAGTCGTAATGGACTCAGTGGCAGTGGGTTTGGGTTTTTCTGTTTGTTTGTTTGTTTCCCCTGTCTCCAGAAGCTTCTAGCTCTAGAGTCTGGCTACTGCCAAGAGGCTGAGCAAGCCAGGAGGGGAAGGATCCTGTGTTTGTGAGGTATACGTGCATGCACCCAACACCCAACATGTGTGTACACGGGTGAGTGTGGTGTGTACCTCTGGCAGAAATGCCAGGTGAGCACGTTACATGAGAGTGTGTGTGTGCATGTACGTGCATGTACCGGGGAATGAAGGTGAACACATTGGAGCGTGCACTGAGAACACGCTCCAGTGTGTCCACGTGTGTGTGCGTGAGTTCATGTGTGTGCATAACGGGGGCTCTAACTGCACTTTCGGTCTCCTTGCTCCAGGGCCCCACAAGGCCCAGGGTGGCCACTTGCCCCCAGAAGCCTGCATGCTGACCAGGCCATGTGGGGAAGCCTCAGCCGGCTTGGTTTGCAGGACAGCAAGAGCACTTCTGTCGTCTTAAAGGTTTTTCTGACTCGAAGCTTTAATGGAACATTATTTATTTATCGAAGCCTCTTTGGCAAGCCTGGGGCATCAGCAAAGGGTAGGAGGGATGCGGGGCCAGGGCCCCAACTCCCCATACCCCTGAGCGAGGACAGGGGTCCCTGAGCTGTTGTTTTGCCCCACCCCGAAGGAGTTGAGGCCTGAGCGATTTATTTATTGGGAGAGTGAGGGAGGGAGACTGACTGACTGACTGACAGCCATGGGTGGATGGAGGGGTGATCCCTCCCCAGGGGGGGTTACTGCAGGGCCCAGCTGCCCCCCCAGGATGGATGTGAGATGGGAGAGAGGTGAGTGGGGGACCTTCACTGACAGGGTGGGCAGGAGGGGTGGGTGGAGAGCCCAGACCACAGGGGCCCCTTCTGTGGCGTTTGAAGTGCCCCTTCCCCACTTCTTGCTGCGCCCCCACCAATCTGCACTTTGATTTGCCTTCCTAACAGCTCTGTTCTCTCCTGCTTTGGTTTAATAAATATTTTGATGTATTTGGGTTGGATTTTGTGACTATACTGGGAGCAAATTGGGGTGAGAGAGGCCAAGGCTGCTGGAAAAATAACCCGTCCACTTCCCTTCTCCCGCCCTTGCCTGATTCTATCTCATATGCTCCTCGTTGCCCGAAGGAGGGTAGACTTCACCGTCATTTTTGTCCTACCTGAAAAACTGATGCAGCAAATACTGTTTTGCTGTAGAAAGTCATGAATGTAACAACAGTGCAGAAAGTAATTCGGGAATTTCCTCTCCCGAGTCCTTGAGAGGCCACGCTGATCAATTTGCTATTCCTTCCAGGCATTTCTGGGCATTTGTGAATGTACAGCAAATATTTACAATGGGCTTGTTCTATGTCAGGAACTTTCAGGTTCTAGGGGCCCATGTGTAACCTTCCCTCACGGGCTCTTAAGGTCTGATGGAGGAGATTCAAATGAGAGTCAGGAAGTCTCCCTGGAAGAGGAGGTGCTTAAGCCAAGAGTGGAAGGATAAGTGGGAGTTAACTGGAAGAAGAAAACTTGAAGAGCACACCAGGAAGAGCAGTGCAAAGGCCCCAGGAGCAGGAGGGAGCAGGGCACTGAGGACCTTTATTAAGCCAGTGTGGCTTGAGACCAAGGTGTGGGGGCAGAGTGAGGCTGGAGAGTGGGTAGAGATTTAGTTTGGGGCTTTGTTCAGGGGACAAGGAGTCTTGGTGAGCCTGAGATGGTAATGGTATGCCCTGTCTTAAATGTTAAAAGCTCCCTCTGGCTGCTGTGTGCAAGGTGGATTGAGGGGGAAGTAGAAAGGGAGTGGGAGAGCGGGGACCAGTGGGATGGCCCTGACCTGGGATGGGAGGGGAGAATGGAAATCCTGTTCACACATACTTGTTGAACAAATGTTTAGGTAGGTTTTCTTGTACCTAGTGCCTATTTGAAGTCCTTTACATTCATTGCAGGCACCCACTTGGCTGCTAACCAGAAGGCAGCAGTTTGAACCCACCACCTGCTCTGTGGGAGAAACATAGCAGTCAGCTTCTGTAAAGATGACAGCCTAGGAAAGGGTGGTTCTACATGTTGCCCTGTATGTTTGCTATATGTGGGAACTGACTAGATGGTAGTGAGTAACAGTGCAGGAGTCCCTGGGTAGCAAAGGTTGAGTACTCAGCTGCTAACAGAAAGGCTGCTGGTTCAAGGCATCGGAAGGAAGGACTGGCAGCCTGCTTTGAAAAGGTCACAGCTTTGAACACCCGTGGAGCAGTTCTTTAATGCACACATGGCGTCTCCATGAGTCGACTGGACGGCAACTAATACACTCTACACCCCACAGCTGTCCTAGGATGTGGCTACTACTACTCCACTTTGCAAATGAGGAGGCTGATTACTTGGCTGTTCTACCCAAAAGATGTCAGTCTTGTGCCTGTTTACCCTGTAATGGACTGGGAACCTGCCTCCTGGCTGTGGAGTACGCCCAAGCTGACCCTGGGAGATTCGCAGTGCCTAGCAGCCAGGAGCTCTAGCGGCCAAAGTGTGAGGTGTTTATCAACAGTGTTGGAGTTTTAAATGGTGCAGCTCGTGCTTACACGAGCTTTGTACTCATTTTCCAGACGGGAAAACTGAGGTCTCGGGGGCTGGAGACCCTCCCCCCAGGCACCCGCCCAGCGGGGAGCAGGCCTCGGTGACCAGTCCAGGCAGTGGGCGGAGTCGCGGGGGCGGGGCCTGCGACG